GCCATATGACGTCACACTGGGGCCATATGACGTCACACTGAGGGCATAATGTTCGCCCCCGGTATAGGTTTTAGACCCTACTGGGAGTCATTTGTGGACTGGTGACCACCCCACACCCCCCCCCCCCTCCCCAGCTGCAAAGTGGGGGGGAGGGGGTGATAGTGAGGGCCAAGGGAAGGGGGTAATGGGAGAGTGAGGGGGGGGACGAGGGTAGTGCCGCAGGGAACGCTGCAGGTGGTGATGGTGATGGGGCCTATCTTAATATGTTACATTAAATACTCGCATGATAGTGGTGAGGGAGGGAGGGAGGGCTGGTTGTTATGGTGGGAGTGGTCTGGAGGGTGTGGTTGGTGGGAGGGGTGGTAGTGCAGGGAAGGGGTGGGGGGAAAGGGTGTGTGTGTGTGTATACACACACACACACACACACACACACACACACACACACACACACACACACACACACACACACATATGCACACACAAATAAACATACACACGTGTAGCACTCCTCGTGTCATTCAATGTTTACAGCTGTTGTCACATCCCCGGGGTAGAGAAGGGGAGAGTGGGAAGGAAGGGGAGGGAGGGGAGAGTGGGAGAGAAGCGGGTGGAGGGGAGATTAGGAGAAGGGGAAGAGATATGAGAAGTATAAGAGTAGGGAGAAGAGGGGCAGAAGGACACAGCCCCGCTCCTGTGCCAGGCAAGTTCACTACGGGTTCACCATAGCCCGTGCTACTTGCAACTTTTTGTTTCGAGTAGCTGAATCTAAAACAACAAGAAGCACGCGCGCACACATTTATTAAATATAATTTGTGTGTAAAGAAAAGAAAACAACACTGAAGGCATCTATGGCCATGGAGGTTGTGCGTGTAGCTGAATGTCTCACAACAATAGAGAATGTTTCTGACAACGGGAGAATTGGTAAGTACAAGAGGAGAAAGAATCGCCTCCTTAAGTTGATTCTGAAGGAGGCAAACCATCAGAAGTATTCAGAAAAGCTGGAAACTCATAGACTAATGATGATAGAAAATTGCAATCAATAAGAAGCGACCTGTAAGTGGAAGATATGAAAAGGTTAAAGCATAATTTGTAGAAAGCAAAATGATTGAATGAAAGAATGAAAGCCAGTGAATTAGAACCTTAAAGAGAATAAATTAAATCAGTTGAGACAGGTGGATAGAGGGGCCTAAATAGGAGAAAAACTCTATAATGCAATAAATTTCTAAACACTAGGGCTTAGCAACGTAATAACCCAGAAAAAACAGATGTTGCATAATCAGAAACAAAACTGGAAGAGAGTACATTAATAGAGGAAAATATTCCAGCGGAAACAGGAAAAAAGCAAAGCAATTACAATATATTTTAAGAGAACCTAAAGCGTAGAAATTATTACTCGATAATCCACGAGATGTGGAAGTTGGAGCCCTGGAGAGCCGTAACAAGACACAAGTTAATAATGATAAATACCGCCATGTACCAGGCGGACGTGGAGGGGGGAATTAGACGACAATTGAGAGGAACTTACAACGTTCGCGAGGCACAATATAGAGAGAGGAACAACGTAGAACCAGATTGTAGGAACTGCGAGACATAAATCTCTCTCAGGCGGTCTCCATGAATAAGGAGGCAGAGCCCGCCATGAGAGAGAAGGGCGTGATCCATCCCTTGAAGGATCCCGTAGTCCCTAGAGGAGAGATAACTCTTTGAAACACAATCCCTTCAGTCAATAAGGAGGAACAGTCATGAATTGTTGTGGCTAATGAGATGTAGACAAAAAAAAATTAAATGATGTCGAAGACACCTAAATTTCCATACCAAAACAGAGACACGGGTTTGGAAAACTGAAGTGTTTCAACAGAACTTACAAGGAAGCCAGATATTAATAGACATGAAAAATATAAATAAGACCAAAACCGCTGCTCGGAAATTAGGAAAGATGCGGAAAGAAAGTTTTAGAAAGGAATACAGCAGATAAATGAAAACTGCATGTGAAGGACTAATTGATAATTAGTAAACTGCATGCAAAGGATAATATTCCGAGATCACAAATGGGATATCTGATTCACGAACTCACAAAAGGAAATGTATAAAACTTTAACACGTGTGGCTCAAGGCGGTGTTCAAAGTAAACACCTTTTGTTTCAGGTTGACATTATGGTGTCACCTTGGGTCCTGAGAGAATGTGCTGATGAGCTTAGCAACCCATAACATACTATTTTCCAAAATCCTCTTTATAATCAGGAAAGCTTGGAACCATTTGGAAAACAGAAAACATTTCCTACTATATAGTAACGTTGACAGAAAGCTCATTTAAATACTGACTAGTATAATAGCCAAATCACTAGAAAATGCAGTACCTGGTTTGGTTGGCATAAACAGTAGTATATATATAATGTATAATATTGAGTGATCCTACTGGACTCCCCAAAAAGCAATAACAAAAATCTACCGTCTGGAGACGTTAAATATAAGAAAACTAGTAGGCAGAAGACAAGGAAAGTGCGTCTCTGGCACCTTCTGTAACCTTCACAAGTCTGTAATCATGTAACGCACCACCTGTTCTGTAAGCAACGTGGAGCTGACAGGTGCTACCAGAGGAACTATCAGGTGGCTGTGTGTTGTGGGGGACAGGACGCCTGTGTGTGTGTGTGTGGGGCAGACCCAACAGGAGGAGCAGCAGCACGTTACTGTCCCAGACGAATAAGGAAAAGGAGGAATCCCTTCAATATGTAAAAGATGTAATGCATATGTTTTGCTCTATTTCACGATGTCTTCCACTTTGTCTTTTGTCTCTCTCTCTCTCTCTCTCTCTCTCTCTCTCTCTCTCTCTCTCTCTCTCTCTCTCTCTCTCTCTCTCTCTCTCTCTCTCTCTCTCTCTCCGTCAGTTATAATCAGCAAGGTGACCTCTGACCTTCAATTACAAGTGAGGGGCACCTGGGGACCAGGTGGGGGGGGGTACATAGCCCCAGCGACCATCTGGGAAGGTCAAGGTGCCTGGTAGAGACGCCTCCAGGAAGCTGATTACAGGTCTTCCTCATATCTTAATCATTACCAGAGTGATTAGCTACATTACTCCGATCACTCGAAGATATATTATCATAGTTATGTCGGTTATGTCTTTGTAGGAGCTATTATACCGTGGGTGATTGTAATAGAGTGGTAGTGATTGTTATCTTGATTGGTGGGTCACCAGATGCCTCGTGCCCGTCATCGCTCTCTGTCTCACGACAACTGCCACCACCACTATTACCACCACTACTACCACCACTACTACCACCACCACTACTACCAATACCACCATCCACCCCCTCCACCACCCACTACTACGGCTACAAGAGAACCTGCATGGTGATCAAGTAGGCCGGAAGAAACAATGGATGACATTGTAGTCACTGCAGAAGAGATAAGACAACACATGAAACAACTAGATATGATCAGATCAATGCGGCCACGTCTAATCTTACCATAGTTGCTGAAGGAGAAGTACTTTGTACTCCCCATCATCAACAAAATTTAATAAAAAACTTAGAACAGGAAATCTCCCAGATTTCAAGTCTTGCAGGTAGAACTCCTGGACCATGGCTAGAGTACAGGTGGTTCAGCAGTACTGCTGACCTCGTGGTGCTGTGACACCACCAGCAGTACTGCTGACCTCGTGGTGCTGTGACACCACCAGCAGTACTGCTGACCTCGTGGTGCTGTGACACCACCAGCAGAGTTGCTGACCTCGTGGTGCTGTGACACCACCAGCAGAGTTGCTGACCTCGTGGTGCTGTGACACCACCAGCAGAGTTGCTGGCCCTCCATCCTCCTGCTTATTCTCAGATGTTCTGAAGTCCAGTTCCCTTAGTCCTTGTTGACAGCTCAGTCTCCCAAGCTCAGGAATGAGCCTTGTGGTATGTTTTTGTACTTTTTCTGTTTATGTTTGTGGTTCTTTAGATAGAGGTTCCATCGGGTCTCACAATGGATGTTTACAACGCTCGGAAGGTATTATTGTCAACGTTCCTGAAGGATAACCGGACGTTTGTCAGTGTGTGTGTGTGTATACTCACCTATTTGTGCTTGCGGGGGTTGAGCTGTGCTCTTTCGGCCCGCCTCTCAACTGTCAATCAACTGTTTCTAACTACTACTACTATTTTTTTCCACATCACACACACCCCAGGAAGCAGCCCGTGACCGCTGACTAACTCCCAGATACCTATTTACTGCTAGGTAACAGGGGCATAGGGTGAAAGAAACTCTGCCCAATGTTTCTTGCCGGCGCCCGGGATCGAACCCGGGACCACAGAATCACATGTCCAGCGTGCTGTCCGCTCGGCCGGCTGGCCCCCTATGTGTGTGTGCGCGCGCGCGTGTGCGTGTGTGAGAGAGACATTTTAGAGCATCAGGGAGACGGACATTGAAGACCCGTGTAGATCATCGGTACTAATAAAATTCAAGACATTTCAGACACAGCTGAAGGCAAGGGGAGGCAGGCGAGGGTGGGAAGTGTCCACCACCTGACTGACAAGCAGCGGGACTCGCCACTAATCTATCAAGACTGAAGCATGCGGTAAATATGTGAGTATATACTTCTGAAGGCGGTGGACTAGATGCCTGCGTGTGTGTGTGTGTGTCCTCCCCCCACCCCTCCTCTGAGTCTCAAGGCACAAGGGGTCAGATTCACGAAGCAGTTACGCAAGCACTTACGAACTTGTTCATCTTTTCTCAATCTTTGGCGGCTTTGTTTACAATTATTAAACAGTTAATGAGCTCCGAAGCACCAGGAGGCTGTTTATAACAATAACAACAGTTGATTGGCAAGTTTTCATGCTTGTAAACCGTTTCATAAATGTAACCAAAGCCGTCAAAGATTGAGGAAAGATGTACACGTTCGTAAGTACTTGCGTCACTACTTCGTGAATCTGGCCCAAGGCCCACTCGGTCAAGCCAAGTGGGCGAAATAGGTGGAAAGAAAAACAGATCCCAGTAATAAAAACACGAAAGAAACATGTACTCACCAGTTCTTCGCGAGGTTTGATAGGTTTGATAGGAAGACTTTCCCGGTGGGCGGTCTCTCACTCTGGTGAGAGGGTGGGTTGTGGGCGAGGGTGGGCGGGGGTAGGCCCGCCCCTCTCACTCTCCCTCACCACCCGCGCCACGCTCTCACCTCTCTAGGGGTCTCTACCACACACGGACACACTACAGTCTTCGGCGGCTCCTCACGTCCAAGACACGACTGTTGTTCTCTACCACAGCATGGCCGGGGCTGCTGCCTCACGCGTCCACCATTACGCCACAGTTTCCAGGTCATGGCGTGCTTCTGCATCACTGGTATTGCACTGCATGCTGTTATTATCACTACATGTTACGGCATTTCCGATGGAGCACTGCAGTTCACTGTACACTTTGTATTCAATTGAAAAATTACCATGACACTTCATGTGACAGCGTATCACAGATCACTGTAACAGACCCACGTACAGTGACCGCACGTACAGTGACCTCACGTACAGTGACCGCACGTACAGTAACCTGAGCTGGTGTCACCATCTCACAACCAGCCCATCCACAACTGTAAAGTTAAAAGTCAACAAATAATTTGAATATCAGGACAGTTCGCTTGTAACGCAGCACCACGTCCATCCAGGCAGTACAGGCGGGGCTGCAGAGCTAGACCCCACTCTTCCCCCCCCTCCCCAGGTAACCACTGCTAGGTAATCACTGTCGCGTCAAGCTGGGAGACTTGTACTATTAATCAAGATGATACACTCTCCTCTAAACTTTCTCTCGTTTTTTATGTCAAGTTAAAGAGTTGGTGGGACGGAGGGAAGCCGTCTGCCACCAGCCGCCATAGTAAGCCGACTAAGAGAAAAAACGTAACCCATTTTAAATGTAAATATTACTTTCAAGATCATTTAATCTAATTACATAAGTATATATATATTTTTTAAGTTTCAGATTTCACATGTGTTTGCTTTGAAATTCCCTAATTACTATGGAGAGTCTCCAGGGGTGACCAATATATTTTCAGCCATTGGAAAACTTAGCGAATTAGTTTTGTTAAATATTGATGCCGTAGAGTGCAACACTATCTGTATGTGATGTTAGAGTAGCCATCTCTCTCTCTCTCTCTCTCTCTCTCTCTCTCTCTCTCTCTCTCTCTCTCTCTCTCTCTCTCTCTCTCTCTCTCTCTCTCTCTCACTCACACACACACACACACACACAATGGGTGGACAAAAACAAACTATTTAGCATGGGTGGAACACGAACAAGGGGACACAGGGGGAAACTGAGTACCCAAATGAGCCACACAGAGATTAGACAGATTTTTTTCAGTGTCAAGAGTAGTTAACAGATGGAATATATTAGGTAGTGATGTGGGAGGCTGACTCCATACACACTTCTTTAAAAAGAAGATATGATAGAGCTCAATAGGCTCAAGAATCTGTACACCAGTTGATTGGCAGTTGAGAGGCGGGAACAGAGTCAAATCTCAACCCCCGCAAGCACAAATAGGTAAGTATACACACACACTCACACACTCACACTCGCGCGCCACCATCCACACCGTCAAGGCCAGGTACAATAAACAATTCGAAGATCATGAAGGTTAAAATAATGCTTAACAGATACAACTAAGCGAGGAGACGGGGCATGAACAGCCAGGCCCTACGTGCCCGTAGTCACTGTTAGGTGAGCACCCACACGCCCCTAGACCAACGGTCATCATGACGTCACCACCCACACGCCCTCAGACCAACGGTCATCATGACGTCACCACCCACACGCCCCTAGACCAACGGTCATCATGACGTCACCACCCACACGCCCCCAGACCAACGGTCAGCATGACGTCACCACCCACACGCCCTCAGACCAACGGTCATCATGACGTCACCACCCACACGCCCTCAGACCAACGGTCATCATGACGTCACCACCCACACGCCCTCAGACCAACGGTCATCATGACGTCACCACCCACACGCCCTCAGACCAACGGTCATCATGACGTCACCACCCACACGCCCTCAGACCAACGGTCATCATGACGTCACCACCCACACGCAATATTACCATAATTCAACATACAAAATGTAAATACAATCAAATACAATCTCAGTATGTCTAAAAAGTGTTATACTGGAGGCCATCACCTAGTCAGATGGCCCACAGATAAATGGGAGCCGGTCGGCCGAGCGGACAGCACGCTGGGCTTGTGATCCTGTGGTCCTGGGTTCGATCCCAGGCGCCGGCGAGAAACAATGGGCAGAGTTTCTTTCACCCTATGCCGTTACCTAGCAGTAAAATAGGTACCTGGGTGTTAGCCAGCTGTCACGGGCTGCTTCCTGGGGGTGGAGGCCTGGTCGAGGACCGGGCCGCGGGGACACTAAAGCCCCGAAATCATCTCAAGATAACTTCAAGATAGTCATTACATTAATGACTAATCATCCCATTCGCTACAACACGTGCTACAAGTGTGTATATACCCCGTGAAGCTGGGAACACTTCTCAGTGTGTCCCCTTATTTCTGCAGCACTCGATTGATGAAGATTAAGCCACCCAAAAGGTGGCCCGGACAAGTTGTAAACCTTAGGAGGACGGGCTGAGGAGACGTCACTTTAAATGAACCGTTTTCTTGACGTTTTGAAACCTTAGGAGGACTGGCTGCACGAGTAGCCAGTAAAGATACAGTACTCATTTGTTTGTTGTTTTAGATTCAACTACTCGCAACAAAATTTATCTGTAATAAAAAGTTCCAAGTAGCACGGGCTATGGTGAGCCCGCAGTACAGTACTCGATTGATTGATGAAGATTAAGCCACCCAAAAGGTGGCACGGGCATGAATAGCCCGTAAGTGGTGGCCCTTTTGAGCCATTACCAATATCAAGAGCTGATACTGGAGATCTGTGGAGGTGTGGCTGCACCCTGCGTGACGGGAGATGTCTCCCGTGGGTTTTGACTGGTGAAGTGTAGAGATAAATATATGACTGATAGCCCGACTCCTGGTCGGGCTCCCAGTCCTCTAGGATATGTATGTGTATCAGCCCCTCTAGGATATGTATGTGTATCAGCCCCTCTAGGATATGTATGTGTATCAGCCCCTCCAGGATATGTATGTGTATCAGCCCCTCTAGGATATGTATGTGTATCAGCCCCTCTAGGATATGTATGTGTATCAGCCCCTCTAGGATATGTATGTGTATCAGCCCCTCTAGGATATGTATGTGTATCAGCCCCTCTAGGATATGTATGTGTATCAGCCCCTCTAGGATATGTATGTGTATCAGCCCCTCTAGGATATGTATGTGTATCAGCCCCTCTAGGATATGTATGTGTATAAAGTATATATGGAAGCTGATCAGAATTACATTTCACCTTTTTAAATGCACATTAATGACACTATGTAAAAGACACATCGAACACTTTATGTAGGGCATACGTAAATCTGTGTATCTATGTATTTACGTATGTAGGTTAGCTTAGCATTTTAAAAGCACCGAATCACCTTCTGGGGTTGAGTGTTCAATAAACCCCTGAACTATATGTTTAACACATCTCTAACCCTGTCCATGGAGGACAGAAGAAAATGTATATATGCTGGTTAGCTGTGGCCACGTCTGTGGTAGAAAATAATAATAATAAAAAAAAACCCTCTAGGGTTATTTAGACCACCGCAACAGTTTACTGACCAACGAGCATGTATCTTGTAGTCCTGAACATAGTCCAGGACTACAGTAAACTCTTGCAGTGTAAGTATACCGAGAGGTATATCTCGGAGTATACCTGTGCTTGCCTCGTATACATCCAGTATTGCAGCATATAACGTTCTGATCTGCATGCATTTTCGAATATGTACTATTTGATAATAAAAATAATAACAATAGCATACATATTATTGTCTATTTATGTTTAATTTATATGCTATACATTATTTATATCGTGCACCTTTGTGTTTATCCGAGAATATACGACAAGCACATATTATATAAGCACAAATGCACTCAATAACATATATTGAGTTAAGGTTTACGACCCATCGCTTGTCGACGTCATTAAAGCAACAATCATTTTTATTTATTAACCATCAAATACATTATCTAAAGACTTCAAGGCCTTTATGGTGCTGCATAGCCTTTCCGGCTTCTTTTGACAATTAATTACTGTAAGAACTTAATATATATTATAAACTTATTTACACTGAAGCAAACATTTCATCCGTGTTTCGCCCAAGATTAAACAATTATATAAATACATTTACACTTGTTTGACTGCTAACCTCGCGGCGATGTCTGGTAGTATTGACGTTCTGTTTATTGCAGCTGCTATTGCGTGTTGTGCCTCCTTATCTCACTCGTAACAGCCAAACGACCCACTGGGGGATGCCCTGGGGCAACGGCGCACTACTGTAGCCTTAGTACGTCTAATAGTGTGGACAAATAGCCTCAGTAAGTCTAATGTTGTGGACAAATAGTCTCGTGCATCTCATATTGTGGACAAATAGCCTTAGTATAGCTAATATTGTGGACAAATAGCCTTAGTATAGCTAATATTGTGGACAAATAGCCTCAGTATAGCTAATATTGTGGACAAATAGCCTCAGTATAGCTAATATTGTGGACAAATAGCTTCAGTAAGTCTAATGTTGTGAGCAAATAGTCTCGTGCATCTCATATTGTGGACAAATAGCCTCAGTATAGCTAATATTGTGGACAAATAGCTTCAGTAAGTCTAATGTTGTGAGCAAATAGCCTCAGAACACCTAATATTGTGGACAAATAGCCTCCGTACATCTAATATTGTGGAGAAATAGTCTCAGTACATCTAATATTGTGTACAAATAGTCTCAGTGCAACTAATATTGGAGACAAATTGCCTCAGTACATCTAATATTGTGGACATATTCCACTGTATCCTCTCATACCACCTTACGTCCCTCCAGACCCGACATACTTCTCAGTTATTGATGGTGTTTCTGTATGTCTGCTAATTATATTTTAGCCATTAAAATATAATTACTGTAATAATTATTTTAAAAATAATATAATTGCCTTATTTACAAAAGAAATATTACATGTAGCAAGTCATAATCTTCACATAATATATATATATATATATATATATATATATATATATATATATATATATATATATATATATATATATATATATATATATATATATATATATATATATATATATATATATTTGTTGTGGCGTCACTTGCAGCGTGTCTAAGAAAAATCATCTTGACACGCCGAAACAGTTTATAAGGAATATGTATACCTGTACGAGGATACTGCTGACAGTAGCACCACCAGAATGCTGCTGACGATGGCACTACCAGGTAGTGCTGACAGCAGCACTGCCGAAACAGCACCATCGAAGCAGTCAGACAAGAAAACCAGCCTCCTCAAGAGAAAGGGGGGAACCATAAACGGTCTTTGAAACACACACCCGCGTGGTTCGCGTGTGATCCTGGACCATGTCTGCCTCCGATGAGCCAGATTTATATCCTCTAGGCCATAATTGGATTTAATAAGTCGCATTTGAGAGATAAAGATCATAACTACGTCCGACGATCTACACATATGTCCGCTAAGCCATATATATATGCGCTCAGTTTCGAGCATGTGTGTGTAAGGTAACCATAATGTGCCTATATATATATATAGCAGTCCAGAGTCACATTCAGTAAGCCAGATGTACGTACCCAGTAAGCCACATCTATGTATGATAAGCCATATTTGTATATAATCAGGCATTTGTGTAGAACGTGCTGAACGTCTCATCGTTGAGGCAAAGGACCCATAAAGTAATTGAAGAACACATGTCTGAGCGCTTTCCCACTCTTTATCACATTATCAGATGCTATACCGAGAATTATGTCAAGAAACTTATATATATATAAACTGAAAACTCAACACCCTAGAAGTATATTTAAGCTACAAGAACTATTTTTTTTTCCCCCCCCGACCAGGATTCGAACCCCCGCCACCTGGGATCACCCCTAAACGTACATGGTACTGTAACCACCTGATGGATTGATTGATTGATGAAGATTAAGCCAGCCAAAAGGTAGCTCGGGCATCAATAGCCCGCAAGTGGTAGATTTTCTTTGGAATGAATGTGATCTATGGTGGTGATGTGACCACCTCATTAATGATCCTCAACAGACGATCACTGCCGAAGTACAGTACCCTGCGGCGGTGCATCTAGGCGGCGGGGATTCGAATCCTGACGAGGTCAAAAAGAGTTCTTAGTAATTCACCTGGACACTATGAATCACGGACACTCCTACGGACACTAATTAATTAATATGCTTATTGTTTGTGATGTGTGTGTGTATATATTATATATATGAACACGTTGTACTGAATGGAGTGAGAATAGCTTGAGCTACTTCATCCCTTTGTGTGTATTTATACCTCAATAAACTTATTTTAATTGAATTTGGTCACTATGAGCCTGGAAGAGCCGACCCTCAGAGCGGGAGGTAGGCAGTGCTCGCTCTGTCAGCCAAGGTACAGGGCTTGCCGCAATAAACCAGGGTCCCACAGACACACAGCTGGTATGCTACTGTGACACAGTAATCACACTAACGTGACTGCATCAATGAGTTGCAGACTGCTCCTACGGATATTCTCATCCTACTGGGACTTTCAAGTTCTCCTGGGCAATGAAATGTTATTATCCGTGGTAGTGTGGGGTGACAGTTTATATGACTTAGGGCGTGGATCACCTAATTCCTCCGTGCTCAAGTCTGTCAGTCTGTCCGAATTGCATTTACAGAATGTATTGAACATGTCTCCATTCATTAACTTGAAAGCCATTTAAAATTGTCGAGTATACAGTAGACTATGCCTGCGATGTGACAATTAACTTACTGTTAAGGACAACCAATAATTATATTTCTTTAACCGAGTTCTGCGCCATTCTTTAAACTTTGAATAAGGCGTATTGACACTAATCCCACGCTCCATTACGTGACATTTGTCAACATTGAAATCAATTAGCCATGTGTTACTCCATGTTGCGGTTAATTAAACTATATTAGACTAGGTAATTAGACAAGGCAGCGTCTGGGATCCTCTCGGACGTAGGTTCGAACTCTCGTTACGGCCCTTATGGATTTGTTCATTTGATGCATCACGCTATTGTGATTTCTGTATGTATTAGACTAGGTGCTTTTAAAGGTGTAGCAAGGGTTTATATATCCCTATATATATACACCGAGAGGTATTTTCAGTTTCTCGCTGTATATACACTTGGTGGTTGGTCAGTAAGCTATTGTGGTGGCTTTAATAACTCTTCTGTGGTTGATAGGTTTTCAGCCCAACACCAAACTAGGTAAGCAATTATCAAAAGAAGGCACCAAGTCGGGGAGGCGGCTCATCTCCTGTGCCAGGTAAGTCCACTACGGGCTCACCATAGTCCGTGCTGCTTGCAACGTTTGGTTCCGAGGAGCTGAATCTAAAACAATAACAAACCGAGGAGGCTATGTAGCACAACATCGAACCAAGGTAGTGGACGTCGCTCAGTCTCCCCCAGTAGCTTACCATCACCCTTAAAAGATATCCATATAACTGTGTATCACGGGTATAACTTGCGGGTAGATCACTTATATGCTGAGAGACTCACTGGCGGGGAAGGAGGTGGGAGATTATGATGTAGGAGACGAAGGAACAAGGAAATATATAAGTAAACATGTTTTAAAACAGTATCGGAAACTATTACACACGTATCACCGTATAGAGTGCCGGATCCCAAGAGCTGAAGACCACTGCACACTTAGTAATTGAACATTGATGACGCAACACTTGCGAAATACCCTACACAGCCTACCTCGCACAACACCTTCACTAGTGCAGGTCTCCGCAACACAACACCTTCACTCGCACGTGTTGAGAGTGGACGGACACACACTAACAGTGCACAACGTCATCACTGCACTCCGCCGTGTGAGGGATACACGGTGTATCCGTCTCACTGTGTGCAGTGTCCTGGGACAGTGAGTGTATTTTCTTCCCTCTCCTGGTGACGCAACTGTACGCGAGGCTCGCGTGCAGACAGGCTCGCGGGTGGGGGTGGAAGTAGCGTCATGCAGCCTGACATACTTGACTGGCTGCGTGTCTGACAGACGCTAGCTCTTGGTCCCAACCTGGGCTTGGTGGTGTGGGCGCGTGCCTACTAGATGCTCGCTCCTGGTCTCATTACCTGCTTCACCTCTGCTTCTGCTCGCTCCTCACTAATCCCAAAATAAATGAGTACAACTGTCACTTCAGCATTAAATATAGGAGCCCCACTGGCACGCCACCATGTGCGAAATTGTTCCTCGCTCTCTTTGCCGGAGCAACACTTCTTGCATGCAACTTTCTCTGCATGTTTTCACCTTCATGCACACCGATACACGGAACCACAGAGTGCTGCCTCACCGCACGATCAAACACAAAACTTCACTTTAAAGGTCAGAAAATACAAGATTGTGTAAGCGATAAAGGCAACAATGTGAGGCGTCGGAGGTTGTGTCAAGATGTAGTGACAGGGGCCCGGAGCGCTCCCGGTGGGTGTGTGGGGTTAGACGCGCGTCTGGCGACGGAGTGGCGATCGTCTGCCCAACCCACCTTGCCTCCCTGTCCTCCTTCCCCCACCACCCTTTCTCCCCTCTTTACTCTCCCTCCCTCCCCCCTAACTACAGCCAAGACTCCCCTCTTTACTCTCCCTCCCCCCCTAACTACTGCCAAGACTCCCCTCTCCTCTCTATCATGCAGTAATTCCCCTCCAGCGCCAGTCAACCTGCTTGTCGACACATTTCATCATGCATGCAACAACGCTTATTGTGCATGGAACTTGGACCAACACGGATTGGACTTATCTCATAGGCAATGATGATCTCTTGAACTACAGTCAGCTCCCTTGTTCCATATACTCTCTGCTTCTGTGGCGTTCTCAAGACCACCCTATTAGGTCTATAATTACTAGTTGCATTGTGTATTTTAACACCCCCAAGGCAGAACCTGGAGGGTGTAAACGCAAATATCAACATTCACATGCTTGTATGCTACGCGGCCCATGCCACCGTTACTCACAATGCTTAGAGTCATACTCACTCACAGCCAGCATGAAGGACTGCCAGGGAATAGCTCAGTCATGTTAGCATATTTAACCCTACATAATGAGGAGGATATCATGTTGTATCTATAATTTAATGTATTAACTTAATCAAACAAGATTTTACCTCACGAAGCTCTGAAGTCATATTCATCTTAGGACGTTTTCCCATGTCACGTGACCTAGTGTAACCAATGGGAGGAGACTTATAATATACGTCAGAGACCGACCAAGTTACAGCCCCGGTCCTGTGCCAGGTAAGTCCACAACGGGCTCACCATAGCCCGTGCTACTTTGGAACGTTTGTTCCGCGTAGCTGAATCTAAAACAACAACAAATAACAACCATTTATGATAAGACACATCACTTGTGTGACGTCACGGAGTGAGGGCGCTTAACTCCCATGATCTACTATCATCATAGTTTTCATAAAAGTAATGTAAGCCAAACCGAACAATAGATTCACACAGTGACGATCTCTATATAAAACAGACGTATCAGAGGACCCATTAGTAATAGCCTAAGCTACTGTATCCCTTTGAGATGTATTTTTTTGTCTCAATAAACATACTTGAACTTGACCAGAGGACCCAGTCCAAGTAGCCAACATCAAGTTATTGCTGTTCCATTATGGTTTATTCTGGGATCAACAAAGATATCATCTGGAAACGTGGGATATGAGGGAAGTGCTGCATTATCCCCGCCAGGGGGAGAGCCATGTGTGTGAGAGTACACGTGTCCGTACTCATTGTTATGAGAGAAGCCCAGTTGTATGTACGTATGTTTTGTCTCAACGAGAGGAGACAGACGCAGTGGGACAAAATATTCACTGTGAATGTGAGGAATCACTTCAGCGTTTACAATAACAATCTGAGGAACTACCCTGGAATCTAGAGGTAAGTTGGTTTTAACTGATTGATTGATTGATTGATGAAGATTAAGTCACCCAAAAGGTGGCACGGGCATGAATAGCCCGTAAGTGGTGGCCCTTTTGAGCCATTACCAGTATCAAGAGCTGATACTGGAGATCTGTGGAGGTGCGACTGCACCCTGCGTGACGGGAGATGTCCCCCGTGGGTTTTGACTGCTGAAGTGTAGAGATAAATATATGACTGGGAGCCCGACTCCTGGTTCCCGACCTCCCCCCACAGTTGCTACATGTGACTCAATGTCACATTTCCAGATGTTGGAAAATGTTGACGAATGTTTAATGGACAAAAGTGAGAGCCTTAGTCAGAGTTAACTAAGTTGACTTACCTATATAACAACTACCTCCACGTGAATTCGACTACTCGTCGTGAGTCATTTGTTAAAGGGAGACGTGTTTTAACACATGAGCTGAGGTGTGTGTGTGATGCCAGGCCGGGTTGGCACAATACTTACTGCAGTATTCTCAGACAAGTGATTTCAGAGTTATCTTGCACAAGTGTGCATATTTTGACTACAGATTTCGTGAAGGACTAGTTGCGTTTAGTGTGCATTCCTGGATAAATAATCAAATGGCGTTTACAAAGAAACCACATCAGGGGGGTGCACGTTCGAATGCTCCTCACGGCTCTGACTTTCTCATTGATACATCGATGAGAAGGAGAACTCGTTAATGTGAGTTATATGTACATTTGAAGAGATGCTTTGGTGGTTGACCTCCTGGACCACAGCCAGAGTGTATGGGAAGCACTGTCTCAAACCCTGACTGACCTTCATTGGAAGCCTCAGGACCCCTACAAGATTCAGTTGAATTCCTGGTTCCATAACCTTTGAGCACGTCGTGGTGAAGTGGTCTAGGGCGTGTGTTTGGGAGTACCCAGTATGCAGGTTCGAATCCTCCTTATGGCTCTTATCGATTCTCTCACTATTAAGTAAATGCTGTCCATTAGTGGCAGATCAACCAAACTTGTGGCCACCCATTACACGGGGGAGGGAGGGGAGGGAGAGGCAACATCTCCCCACAGTCGACCCGTGGATGTGTAAACAAAGGCATACGAGAGGCGCGGTTAGCAAGGCATAATTAGGTCTGTATTAGTCTTAATCTTGGCTTATCGTGAATTAACCATTAATTACTGTGTGTTAGAGTGATACAGTAATCTTTACTTATAATTTAAGACTGCTGCTTCACATTAATGACACGTTTACGAGACCAATATAAGGGCTAGACCTATATCTATCTACGGAGGCTCTTGTGGGTGGAGGTGACACTAGACCCGCTCACACAAGCACTTTGGCCACCGTCAGCTCTGGCCACCGTCAGCTCTGGTCACCGTCAGCTCTGGCCACCGTCAGCTCTGGCCACCGTCAGCTCTGGCCACCGTCAGCTCTGGCCACCGTCAGCTCTGGCCACCGTCAGCTCTGGTCACCGTCAGCTCTGGTCACCGTCAGCTCTGGCCACCGTCAGCTCTGGTCACCGTCAGCTCTGGCCACCGTCAGCTCTGGCCACCGTCAGCTTTGGCCACCGTCAGCTTTGGCCACCGTCAGCTCTGGCCACCGTCAGCTCTGGCCACCGTGCTGACGGTGCTCCCAGCCAGACTGACGGAGCACATAGGTTCATTGTAAGAAAATTTTACGAAGATTAGTAGGTACATTATAGTATAATTTCATGATTATCAACAGGTACATGGGAGCATAATTTGAGGATTATTTCTAGGTATACTGTAGTAAAATATGCGTTCAATGTAACAACCATGATATAAGATGATAGCAATGATTACAATAGCCAAGTTGAATGGCTTAGGCACATTTCATATTCCCTGGAATATGACCCACACGAAGAATTGTTTTTACAACCAAGTACCCATTTTACTCTTGAGTTAAACAGAGGCTACAGTTAAAGAATTGCGCCCGGAGGATACGAACCCATGACAAAGCGCTCACGGAACGCCAGGCGAGTGTCTTACCACTACACCACGGAGTTAGTCAGCTTGTTGTTAAGTTGCATCCTGGGCGGGGTCAGTAATTCGACCCTGGGGGGGGGAGGTTACTTCCATAAAAACCTAACGTATATGAATACACTCTGGCTGCCTGTCCCTCGACACAGTGAATTAAGCGGGGATATGTGACGATATAGTTTAGTTTGTCCACCTTATCGTTGTTAGCAGAATTAAAAGAAAATGTTGACGTGATGATGAGGGGGTAACTGATGACAATACAATACAATACAATACAATTTTATTTAGGTAAGGTACATACATACAATAAATATTTACAAGGATTGTTTAACTTATAGGTATAGCTAGTACATACAATGCCTAAAGCCACTATTACGCAAGTTATACTTACGCATGAGTTATACTAGTGAGTGCTCAGCATGCTCCATGGACGTCAGTTCTCTCTCTCTCATAATTATATTATATTATATATTATATATATATATTTTTTTAATTTAAACAGAGGAACTGTATGTTGTATAGGACTTGAAATAAGGACTTGCCCAAAACGCTATGCGTGCTAGTGGTTTTACAAGAATGTAAAATCACCATTGCTATAATCCCCAATGTATCTTCTTGTATATAAATAAATAAAGTATGAAGACAGAATTTATTAATGTTTTGATTGAGTTCCGACGGGTGATGATGATAGGTTTGAGGTAGTTTGAAGTGGTAGAACACCTTTAGCAGATACTTGACAATGTAGTTTCTGTCCGTCAGACCGAACGGTTCGCCATATTCTACTCCCAAATGTGTATACCTGTCTCCAAACTTGATACATTAATTATAAGTGATTCTTTGGGTTTGTTCTCGAATCCCAGTCGGGAATCCTGGGTTCAAATCTCGGGCGGGATTGAAATGGCTGGGCACGTTCCTATCACCTAATGTCTCTGTTCACCTAGCAGTAAATAGGTACACAGGAGCTAGTCAACTGTTGTGGGTGTTGCATCCTGGTGCAGATCAGTAGTTCCACCTTGAGGGGACCGCAATATTAGCCAAACGTGTATATATATATACACAGCCTGTCTGTCTTCGACAAAATTAAATATTACTCCTAAATTGCGCTCAACGTTTTAAGACAATTGCTCGTGTCTGAAGCTAGAAACAAATACATGTGGATTGCATCTCATGTTGGCCCCCGAATGCAGGTCAAAACTGAAGAATTACCAAATGAATCTGCCTTTCCAAGGAGGAGTTGATTATAACCTTAGATTGCTTGTGAACAACCTGAGACAAATAATACATCAAAACTATGATGCAAGAAGAGCCACATATCTATGGATCAATTATTAACACCAACAGACTCCTATAGATGTTACTACTGCTTGGCATAGACTCAATAACGTCAGTGACTGATAAAGAAAAGTACCTAAGGAGAGTATTTAGTTGTACAAGTCTCTGGTGCCCCCCCCCCATCTGGACTTCTCCATCCAGGCATGGAAACCTCATCTTAAAAATCACACGACTGCTTTGGAGAAAAGGTCAACACAAAGCAGCAAAAATCATCCCAGAACTAAGTCAGCTTTATTACCAGGAAAGGTACAAGGTTTCTGTATACTAATGAAATAACAATAAAATCCTAAATATAATTACATGAGGCTCCATATTATCTTAAAATAATCTTGAAGTGTTTTTAAATTATGATTTTAAATTCAAATTCCACTACCACTTTCCTAAGTATTGGGAATACCACATAATCTAACTCTTCACACTATTACATGACCATGAATATGTATTAATTTTTAAGACATACCAATTTGCTAGTTTAGGATCTGCCAGAAACGATATGCGTGACTGGTAGCCATATACTCAAATTATAATGCTGTGTCCTATATGTACACAATATGTGTACACAATTTTGTATGTATTTATTTATATATACAAGAGTTCTTACATTCTTGTACTTGTACTATTTCTCTTGTGCACACACTCGCATCGCCAGGATGCAGCCCGCAGCAGCTGTCTAACTCCCAGGTACCTATTAACTGCTAGGTGAACATAGGCATCAGGTGAAAAAAACGGTTCATTTGATTCTATATATGTATGTATGAACGTATATGCCATGCATACGTACGTATATGTATATTTAACTAACGTATGTATGTATATTTAACTGGATAGAGCGGGGAGGCCATAGAATCAGGATAAGTTAAGCCAGAATATGTTATGCTAGAAATAGAGATTTCAGGGAGATGGGATGAAGTGAGGTTATGGGCCTCTGTTTGTTGTGTGTCCAACATAGAGCACCCACCCTTGGCCACCACCGGCCGTGCCTGGCGTCGCGCTGCTACTGGGATCTGGCAACAACAACAACACTACCCCTCCCCCATCAACACATTCCACAACACCACCATTAAACATCGTACCGGCTTTACGTGTCATCTTCGTACACATCACCACATCTAAAACGTTCGCTCCAGTTTTCAGTTTAGGAAGTTAGCGTGGCTTTAATAACACGCTATGTATTGTGACTATAATTGTGTAAGGTTCCCCCTCCGTGTGAATTGTGACTGTTACTTATGGTCTCCTGTTTGGGTAGTCTGGCCGTGTTAGTGCGTTACATCAGTATGCACTGTACTAGTAGTGTGGATGTCAACTAATTGTGCCTGTAGAATCCAGCTGTTAGCTCTTCAACCCCGCCTTTCTAACCGTTGACTGTCTAATTCTAATTCTGATTTCCGAGCTACTTTTTATTATCATATTTAATTAAATAAATAGACAATTAATAAATTAATTAATTCTCTCTCTCTCTCCTTCACGCACACACACATACAGATTGCCAGCCCGCAGCAAATGTACCTATTACTCCCAAGTACCTATTTACTGCTACGTGAATACAAACATTAGGCGAATGAAACTCTGCCCATTTGTTTCTGCCTCGACCAGGAATCGAACCCGGGCCCTTAGGACTACTACCCTAGAGCGTTGTCCGCTCTTCTGAGACGACCTTGAGTGTGTTTGTACTCATCGAGATGTACTTACCTAGTTGTGCTTGCGGGGGTTGAGCTCTGGCTCTTTGGTCCCACCTCTCAACTGTCACTCAACTAATGTACAAGTTCCTGAGCCTACTGGGCTCTATCATATCTACACTTGAAACTGTGTATGGAGTCAGCCTCCACCACATCACTTCCTAATGCATTCCATTTGTCTACTACTCTGACACTGAAAAATTCTCTCTAACGTCTCTATGGCTCATTTGGGCATTCAATTTCCACCTGTGTCCCCTAGTGCGTGTGCCCCTTGCGGTAAATAGCCTGTCTTGTGCTTGCCGGGTTGAGCTAGGCTCTTAGCCCCGCATTCCAAATCAAATCAAATGTTTATTCAGGTAAGACTACCTCCATATAAGTTGAGTCACAAACATAATGTTGGATTTATAGATAGAGCTAGTACATACAATGCCTAAAGCCACTAATACACACAGCGTTTCGGGCAAGGTGTGGGGAAAAAAACACTAAAACTTAATACTAATTGAGATCAAAGCATAAATTGAGTTCAAATGGAAAAAAGGGAAAAAGGGAAGAGAAAGAGAAAAAATGTTGAAAATTAGCAGTTATACAAGTTGGTCAACAAACAGTAGTGTTTGAAAATAGCAAGACATGGGTTGACATTTAGGGGGTAAGGTAGGTTACATGGAGTTTATTAGGTAGTACAGGTACTTAGTTTTTTCTTAAACCGGTTGACAGAGGTACAGTCTTTGACATGATTGGGAAGGTCATTCCACATTCTGGGTCCTTTGATTTGCAGAGCATTTCTAGCTTGGTTAAGGCGCATTCTTGGAATATCAAATAGTTATTTGTTTCTGGTGTGGTGCCCATGGGTTCTGTTACAACCTTCTAAGAAGCGTTTAACGTCAGAATTGGCATTACAGTTCAGAGTTTACTGAACATAGCCCATGTTTGATACACGCTCGTCTAGATAACGCCAGCGGAAATGGTCCCATATAAGTAATTTCCATACTGTATAGTTGATTACTTCATGACTACACTGTAACCTTAACTACAGCACTGTATTTAGATATACTTTTCTTGATGCGTTTGTTAACAATAGATCCTGTCTAACAAACCGGCTCACATTTTTGGAAACGGTAACTAATTATTCAGACAAAGGACTTCCAGTAGATGTAGTAGACATGGACTTTGTTAAACCTTTTGATATGGTACAACATTTTCAAAGACTGGCAAGGAAAGTACAAGCACGTAGAATAAATTATAGAATACTAGAATGGATAAACCAATGGTTAAAACAAAGAAAGCAAAGGGTCGCACTTAACGGAAATGAATCTGTTTGGAGAAATGTGGTGAGTGGGGTACCACAAAGGTCCATTTTGGGGTAACCCCTTTTTGTTATATATATCAATAACAGATGAGAATATTACAAACCACGTCATAAAATTTGCAGACGACACCAAGATAAAGTGTGAAGTGAAAATTAAATTGATGCCTTACAGTGAGATCTACATGAGCTCCTCAGATGGTCAGACGACTGGCAAATGTTTTTAAAGGCTTTTAAAGACTTAATCCTCACCACAAATGCTTTGTGGTGAGGATTATTATGTCCTACATAATGATAACATGCAAGACGTTGCATGTGGGACATAATAATCCTCACCACAACTACCAAATTAACAACATTAACTTACAACAGATCGATGAAGAAAATGACCTAGAGTCAGAATTCATCATTCACTGAAAGTTGTAAAACTAGTGAAAGCTTAAGTAAAAAAAAAAAAAAAAGCTACCCAAACCATAGGAAGAGTCGAGAGAACATTTGCTTCAAGGAAAAGATGGAAGTTATTTAACTGTATAAATCTATGGTGCGCCCCCCCCCACTTGGATTATTGTATCAACGCAGGAAAACCTTATCTTTAGAAAGACATAGCTGCTTTAATGAAAGTACAACACCTGGCTACATAAATCATTGCAGAACTAAGTCAACTCCCATACCAGAAACCTTGCCCGAAACGCTGTAAGTATTAGTGGCTTTAGGTATTGTATGTACTAGCTCCATCTATAAATCCAATATTATGTTTGTAACTCATCTTCTATGTATGTACTTTTACCTGAATAAACATTTTGATATTGATTTTGAGGAACGATTGAGGGCTCACAACACCGCAAACTATGCATGATTGGGCGGATCTCATCGAAACTTAAAATGATGAGCAATTTAGAGGGTGTTGATTCAAACTCTTTCTTCAAAAGGTCAGATGTAACACAAACAATGAACAACGCTCAACAAGCCACAATGAAGGATTGAAAACATGAGATGCCTTTTCACTCACAAGGCAAACCCATGGAACCACCTACCCGCTGAACCCGTAAATGCCAAAACTTTGCTGAACTTTAAAATCCAACTAGAAAAAATCATCAGGACAAATGGGAGTGACTTTTCACAAGCCGCCGGCGTCCTGTTCTCGTAGAGGCCACTACTGTTAGTGGCTCTCAGGGAAATTCAGGTAAAATATTGTATTTATCAGTTAGCTTATGGACTTGCCCGAAATGCTATGCATGTTAGTGGCTTTGTAAGAATGTAACGCTCAAACACCAATGTTACGTACTCCACAACCCAATGAACCTTCTTGTATATAAATAAATACATACATAAATAATTAAATACAATAAATTCAGAGATTTAACCAATAATTCGTCAAGATTTCCAACAGTACATAATTTTGAATTGCCAAAAATTATATTGTTTAAATTTGAATTTATTAAATACTTTAATACAAAATTAAAAAGATGTATGAGATGATGATTACACAAGATGCTGCACCAAACGCTAGTGTTTGTTGACAGTTGACTGCCAGAGGGAGCAGGCGGTACACGCTTCCTCTCTCTCTCTCTTGTTGTATTAATGATGCCTCTCACACTCTTCATGTGCAACATACATTATCTGCTGGATATGCCATGTTGCGCGTCGCATTTGTTGCTGCGGCTAAAATTGTATCGAACTCTTATATCAAGGAGGTATTGAGAACATCGATCCGTGGCAGAATGTCTGGTGCTGGGGTGTTTCCAGGCGACCCTTGCGTCACTGCTCGTCTGTTTGGTAAGTGTTGACTCGTATCTGGTGTTTCCTGGGGTCAGCTGATTACTCTAAGGTAAACTTAACAAGGGGGAAACCCAGCTGCAGTTGATTCACTCGAACACAAAATTTGTTCTAGACCCTTTATGCTGCAAATGCTATTATATGGAACAAATTATTATGATAGAACATGTTTTTGAATATTAAATTCAACTATTCTCATATGTATCAGTTTGTGCTTGAATTCGTCCTTTGTAGCAAGATAGTTGTTGCATACAACCTTCACTTCTGCAGTCCTATGCAGTTTTTTTTTTTATAAATAACCACATATTTTAAGAGCTACATGATAACAAAAGAAAAATGTATGTAAATTTAAAGAAATATAAAGGTAACAATTATATTTACCATTGTAAAGATGAGCAACTCATTTCCCTGTCAGCCTGAAATAGCCAAAGAAAATGTGGTTTTAAAGATTTTACATAGATTATGTCCAGATCTGGAAAAATTACTCTTACTATTTACACAAATACAGTACAGTACATCATGGTAAGGGTTTTGGTCTTCAGACACCTAAGAAAGTGATTATTAATTGATGATCTAAATGAATATTAAAATACTTTACAATTAACAACTTTGTAAAGCTTATACTATATGCATAACTGGAAATGAATATTGATTTAAAATAATATTAGAATCTAAGGTAATCTGAAGATAAAATTTTGCTCAGATGTTAACCAAAATATGTATGTAGATGGCTAATGTGTTTTTCCTTGTGAAGTATTCATCCAAGTAATGTAGTTAAACTGTCCATTTTATACAAACTTTACTAATATAAACATCTAATATACTGTATATCAGTATAACATACTCTTTCCTTTCAATAATCCTGTATGAAACATTTTTATTCTAACATACTGGTTACCCTCAGGCAATAAATCCACATATCCTAGTATTGTATGAGTACAGCCATTGGCCAAATTCTGGTGCAGTCACTGGCCAAATTCTGGGTGCAGTCACTGGCCAAATTCCGGTGCAATCACTGGCTAGTTTCTGTTGCAGTCACTGACCAAATCCTGGTGCAGCCACCGACCAAATCCTGGTGCAGCCAGGATTTGGCTGCAGCTTTATCACGCTGCAGTGCAGTCTCCAGCCAAACTCCAGTGCAGTCAGTAGCTAAGCTCCGATGCAGCCAGTGGCCAGGAAACGATGCAGCTAGCACATCTGGCAGATGTACAGTTTAAGGGATGTACATCTGCCAGAGACAAAACTAAATAAATAAATAATATATATATATATATATATATATATATATATATCATAGCACCATATTTTGACAAGACAAATTTTTTTCTTTCAGATTTTCTTAGAAAGCATGAACACCGTAATGGAAAACCAGAAGTTAAAAAATATCAATTTTATCTTTTAGATACCTTCAATGAACAGATAGTAAGTTACAAAATGTGACTGAAAATTAGACACCCATCTCACATACATATCTGAAAATAATGGACATGACAACATTTCAGTCCATCATGGTCCATTATCAAGTCACGTGATTTGATAGTGGTCCACAATGGACTGAAACAGTCACTCACTTTATCTTCAGATGTATGGTTGGGTGTCATACCTTTACTATTTAAACTAATTAATGTTATATATTTGTAAGCTTCTGCCATTTTTATGATTTTGTTTTATCCAACAGCTTGATATTTGTATGTGCAGGTGGCAGAGTACTGATAACAGGGCATGTATCAGTGGCATTACTTTAACAATTATATTTACACATGCATACAATATATACATGCTATAATGCAAAAAGAGATCTGTTTACAGGTTAGACCAGCATTTCTCAACTGGGGTTATGTGAAACCACAAGGTAACTAGGGGTTACGCAAGAGATGGTGATAAATAGGTTAATTCTAATCATATGCAAATGTATTTTTGAGTAATTTTTCTGTTTAATTTTTCTCATTTAACCAGTATCAAGAGCAGACAGAAATCGTCTCCTTTTTAGTTGACAATGAAATCTCTGTGCATGTATCTAAAGTATGGCTCGGAATCATTTCAAAGGGTACAAAGATTGAGAAATGCTTGTTTAGACTAATCAAATGAGTTTAACTTCCTACACACATGAAATGAGTTTGACAGTGATAATTTCTATTGCAAAAGGCTGAAGCATGACTAGGTTCTTGATGTTCTTGTAGACCTTATACAGTATCGTGCACACTTGTAGTCTTCACCATAAATTACACAGGGTAAATTATTAAACCTAATTTCATTCATTATTGTTTACAAAAAGTATTACGTTCCAACAATATTTTGTATCGATATGGCAGCATCAGTGTTTTTAAAGTATAGTACAGTAATAAGTACTGTACCAGTATTGGTCAAAATATATATATTGGGATTAGACGTAGACATATACGGCACATGTCTAGGCATATGCATACAGCATATACATATATGTCTAGGTGGTCTGACCTAGACATATCGCACATGTCTAGGTCAGACCACGCTCACACACCAGGAAAACACATGGTCCATACCATGGTCCGTACTCATAGCAAGTGTTTGGTTACCACAGAAAAAATTTCACATAAGCAAACTCTTGTGTACATTTATAGTACTGTACAGTAAAAGCACTGGAAAATATTTATAAAATATATACACATTATTTTGAGTAATATTTACTATTAAAAAACTAAGACTAGCAAAATATAAAAAGTATTGACTGGAAATTATTTTGGGACTCTAATTTCAACAAGGTCTCTCTCCAAAATTCAGATTTTTGGAGGGTCAATCTGGTAAGTAAATGTGGTTCATTTTTTGAGGGATCAACTATTTGGAAGTCTCCTTAACAACTATAGAGAAGATTAATCAGTACTTCAATAATATATCCAGTATTGAAGCATGGACAGTACAGTATCCAATACCAAACAGTTAGAATAAATATTACAATGTTTAGTTTTTCTCAATGCTGTGCTTACTGCTTACTGAAATCATAAGAAAATTTGTCTTTTGATAAGGAAGACAACTTTCAAAAGATCTGGGAATTATGATATCTGACAACCTGATATTAGTGAACATAATGAAGCAAATACAACCTCGGCCAGGAAAATGATAGGACGGATTATGAGAACCTTCAAATCCAGGGATCTCACCACAATGTTAATGCTATTTAAATCACTGGTGTTGTCTGGTGTAAATAACTGCCTCGAGTACCGCTTGGTACTCTTTTTTTTTTTTTCCCCCTTTCAGAGTAGAAGAGATTTCTGAAATAGAGGACATATACAGCAGTGTAAGTCAATATTGATATTGCACAGTAGAATAACAACATGCTGGAGCGAAAGATATGGAAGGAATAGAACCAGTGTGGAGTAGAGGTGCCACAGGCACAGTCAGAGAGCACTGTCTGAACATCAGAGGTCCACAGCTATTCAATACTCTCCAAGCAAGCACTGGAATATTGCTGGAGCAAAGGTGGACTTCAAAGAAAAATTTGATAGGTTCCTGCAAGAAGTGCCAGACCAACTGAGTTGTAGTGGCTATGTTAGCCTGCTGGCTGTCTCATGAACTAGCAGTCTCACCGTACCATTACAAAAACCTGGCCAACCTGATGCTTTTTGTCCCATCTCTCTGAACAGTTGCATGTGTAAAATCATCACGAGAATGGTGCTTATAAATTATTGCATTGAATTAATGAGCACTTGTCACCTGATATCAGTAGTTTTACTCATGATAAAAGTGTACACAATTGTATCACAACCTTTTTCACTGTTCATGGAGATAGAAGGCACACATACACATTTCTTGATTTGAAAAATGCATTTGATATTGCTAACAAGGAAGTGACTGTATGAATTAGCTAGAATGGATATTAGGTGGTCAATTGTTACAATGGATACGAGGTTTTCTTAACTACTGAAAGTCCTCTGCACTGTTTCAAGTGAAACTAAATTAATACAACTAAGCACCCCACAAGGAGGAGTATTACGCCTCACCTTGTTTAGTTTACTAATTATGCCTTGCTAAAATAAATTTCAGCAAGTCCCAAAACATTGCTATTAGCTATGTAGAGGATAACCTTGTACATACTAAAACCCACTGTGAAATGCAAATAATCTTGAATAGCATACATCCGACATGTGAGAACGTTGGTGTTTTAGTCAATGCTCCAAACACAAATGTGTTTAACAGACAAATTGGTAATCACAAAAGTGGACCATAAAAACTAAAAATTGATAACTTACCAATCGACTACATCTCCTCTTCCAAACACCTTGGTATCTCAGTCCCTTCTACTTTAACTGCAGTCAAAATAATTACATCAGTAACGTAAAGACAGACTCAGGGCTCTTAGAAGTATATAGTGGGGGGGGGGGGTACAGCCCTCAGTATGCTGTTAATATTAGAATAGCAAAACTTATGTACTTAGCGAATATAAGGTTTCTGGTAGACTAATATGCATTAGCCTTAGGACTACATCAGGGCAAAATTATTGATTGATGGGTAAAAAAATGCAAAATGAAGCCCCCCCCCCAGAATTATGCTAGGCTGCACAATAACCAAGAAGGTTCTCAATATGCAGAAAGAATTAAATATACCTAACATTCAGGATAGAATATTTTAAATCAATCTTATGATGGAAATAAAGCTTCTGCATGATAATGAATTTTGTGTATGTGAGTACTGTATATGTAATTACCAAAGTGTAGTTACAGGATGAGAGCTATGCTCGTTGTGTCTTGTTTTCCCAGTACTCTTTGTCATATAACGCTTTGAAACTACTGACAGTTTTGGCCTCCACCACCTTCTCACTTAACTTGTTCCAACCATCTACCACTCTGCGAAAGTGAATTTTCTTATATTTCTTCGGGAGCTTTGTTTGACACACAGCTTCATGTGTGTGCGTGTGTGTGTACGCGCTCACCTAGTTGTGCATGCGGGGGTTGAGTTCTGGCTCTTTGGTCCCGCCTCTCAACTGTCAATCAACTGGTGTACAGATTCCTGAGCCTGCTGGGCTC